CTAACGGGGTTTTGACCGTGACTCAAATGACATTTGACCAACTCCTGGGAATAGTGAACACATCCACACAAACCAATCTCAAGCACAGCACTTTGCATGTACAAGTTTTATTCGGCTTACTTCATGCTCAGTCACAACTACCATTACTTACAGCTGAAGCAACAATACCCAAAGCACTCCAAAACAGACTCAACCCCAAATAGCAAACAGAGTCGCACCGACTCGCATTGCACACCAGCTGGTTCAATGTGGCACCAAAATGCATTGCACACATGCTGCTTCAAAGTCGCAACAAGCCGTGCACAAGCTTCAAGATCGCACCAAGTCGCATTGCGCACAAGCTTCACAGGCTCCCAGCAAGAATCATCCCTAATTCGTGTTCCAACTTTCGGGGGTTGGGCAAACATTCTCGAAACCTGCAACTAAACTCCACACCCAAAGTCCTAGACCTTGAAACCCCAATCAGAAATATCAGAAATTCCAGTGCCAAGTTAAAACCGAATCCTAACACAAAGCCCAAGTCCATAAAGCCTGAATTGAAAAGCCGTACTTTCCAGCCACGAAACCCTAAACCAAGAGCCACACCCCTAAACCCTAAACCCTAAACCCTTAGGCCCTAAGCCCTAAGCCCTAAACCCTTAAACCCTATAAACACCCCCTCAATCCTTTAGGGACTGGCCCAGCTGCGATGTGCTCCAAGGGCGCCTCGCCGTCGGAATCCTCCTCAAACTCGAAATCATCCTGGCCGCGTGGGCCTTCTTTCGGTTTTGGGGCTGTTTTCGTTATTTTGTTTTTTCGGTTTTGGGTTGTTTTCGCTATTTTGTTCTTTCGGTTTTTGGGTTGTTTTCGTTATATGTTGCTTTTGGCGTTGTGTTGATGCGTGTGGCCGCTTTGTGCTGAGTACCTCAGGCGGTGCCTGATGTTTTTGCCATTGCTGAAAGCGCTCAACGCAATGGGTCTTCCGGCATAGTAGTTGGGGGCAGGGACTGAGACTTACATTTCAGCTGTGTCGTTGTCGCAGGCTTTCCCTTTACGGCAGTACAGCCCTAGCCGCTCCAGTTACTTAAACAGTAGGCTACTAACCATGCATATAATATATAGCCCAGGAGGTAAATATATAGCCCAGGAGGTATGTAACTGGAGCCCTGGGGTAGGGCAACCCTGATTGTAAACCCAAAACCCTAAACCCAAAATCCTAGACCCTCAACCCTCAACCAACCCTAAACCCCAAATCCTATCGTAAACCCTAAACCCTAAACCCTTAGGAAGGATTGACTGTAATCGGCTGTCCTCGGGCGTGGCGAGCTCTTCACGGACGAACTCAAGATGCTGGCCAGAACCTTAGGGTTTAGGGTTTAGGGGTTGGGGGATAGGGTTTGGGGTTTAGGGGTTAGGGGTCAGGG